ACACACACACACATGTATCCCGCAGCCACCTGTTCCGACTCCGTTGTTCGGCTTTCTAATACCTTTTGTTGTTTGGGACGTCATCATTCTGTTCACCTTAAACCGTCCAGAACACAAGTATATACTTTGGGCTTAAAGTAGCCCCCGTACTGGTACATGGGGCCCCTAAACCCTCAACCCTCAACCGTAAATCCTAAGCCTTACACCCTAAACCCTAAACCTGACACCCCAAACCCTCAACCCCCTAAACCCTAAACCCAAGTATATACTAGTTGGCTACCGTGGACCCTTAAAGGGATACTGCGTGGACCAGGATCGGCATGGCGTTCCTCCTTGCTGCCGCCACAAGATACGTGAAGATCCGCAGGAGCCCAGCTTAGGGTTGGGGTTTTGGGTTTAGGGTTTGGGGTTTAAGTGTCTAGGGTTTATGGTTTAGGGCTTAGGGTTTGGGGTTTAAGTGTGTAGGGTTTAGGGTTTAGGTTTTAGACCCTAGACCCTAAACCCCTTTAAACCCTAAACCCCTAAACCCTAAAACGCACATAATGCTCATATACTACTTGCAAGAACTCCCAAAGTCTCTTAAGCTCCGAGGCCCCGAGCCCGAAAGGTCCCAAACATTTAAGCGCGCAACCTTTGTAGGGACTTGTATTCAGAAATCGTACTAAGGAACCCTAAAAAGGTAGGTTATGTGGGGGTTAAGGTAGGGTTTACAGGGTTTATTTGCTTTGCCGTAAGGGTCCAAGTGCCTAATCATCATTGACTCCTCTGAATACTAGCCGACAAAACTAAGCTCCGTAACCCAAGTACATGGTTAGATTCGAAATTAGGTCTTTTGGACCCGTAGGGCTAAGCCCACAACCCAAAAAAGCCCTTCAACCAGAGGTACCCATATGAGAAAGAACTATTATGGTACCCTTCCCCCGAAACCCTGAACCCTAAACCCTAGACCTTTAAACACCTAAACCCTAAACCCCAAACCCCGAAACCCTCAACCCCAAAGCCCTAAACCCCTAAACCCCTAAACCCCAAACGCATCCAAACGTCTTTCCACCTCCAAAAGTCTAACCTTTTCGGCCGGATTCTTCTTTGTTCTTTTGTTGGCGTTGCGCGCAGCTATTAGAAGTAGTACTACTAGGAGTAGTAGTAGTAGTAGTA